GGTATTTTTCTTGTCCCCGAGTCCGTGCACCCATTGCCTATTCGGGCTTTTGGTGACCCACGCTAGGGAATCCCCCAAATAAGAAAACTCCAGGTCCAGCCACTCGACCTGGGAAGGAATGCCCCGCCAGATTTCGCTTCCCGCGCTTCCTCCGCCGAATGCAAAGGACAGAGGCTCACTTGTATGCACCTGGGAAAGGAAACGGCGGAGGCAGCAGCCACAGTATAGGATCAAAAGGATATCACGTCATCAACCATATCTCAGCCAGAACACGTGTCGGAGCGTCTCCACAGGCGGGAGATTTGGAATTCCCGGGATGCGAGCTGCTCGTTCCAAGACCTCGGCTTTTTCAAGGACCACCGACAGGGCAGCGGCCGACAGAACTCCTCGAATTGAGAGGCCCACCAATCCGATCTCATTAGAGTACTGAACGTGATGAGGTTGAGGAGGGTGGCAGCTTCGAGGGCAGCCGCAAGCGCGCAAAGACTGAGCGAGAGCCGACCTTGACATCATGCACCCGCCGTGGGGCACTTGAACTTGTACCGAGGGCCTTTCTTCACGTACACTTCCTCGCAGCACGTCGCATCCCAGAAACGTTTCTGGAGTCAGATGAAGGCGGGGACGGCCTTCTCTGCCCGGCGCGCTCGAAAGCTTGGTCGATGTCAGCGGGCGCCGCAGTGAGTGGATGCTCAGGCCGCGCCCCGCAGCATCGACAACCCCCTTCTGGGTTAGGGGCCAAATTCTGTAGGCCCGAACGGAGTAGGGGAACGGCATCGCTGACGTTGAATATTTCGCGCGTGGCACCTGTGGATTGCACGACGGTCCGAATGCCGCGAGCGCGCGCTTTCCAACCACCGGCGTAAGGATATTCATACATGTCGAGGAGACGGCGAAGGCATGTATGATTGTTTTTTTCACATCGCCTCCCCCCCTATGTCCGCAAAGCAGTTAGACTTCACAAAGGCGAACAGCGCAGGCGGTCGAAGCTGACGCCTTGGTCGCCTCGGGTTCCCACTCAGCCAATCTGGCATCCCCGCTTGTGCAGGAGGAAAACACCATTGGCATGATCTGCTCGGCAGTGAAATCCAGACGAATTTTCCACGTGGGGTCGTGCAGTATAGCATTGATTTAATAGGAAACCAATTCTTTAACGCTTGCTTTCCAAGCTTTTTGCGCATCTCGGTCATCTGGGATCAACGCGGACTTCTGAAGACGGGAGCATATATGCTTGAACAGCTTTTCCTGGTGAGCCCATTCTGGCGGCTGCTCTGGAAGTTTCACGCCCGCCAGCCGGCCATGCAAATGAGGTTCCATGGCGCGTGCAACTCGAGGATGAAGCCGGTGTGAACGCGCCCGCTCTTTCTAAGTAGACCTGAGTTTGGCCTGGACTCGCGGTGGCGTTGGCGCCCGACGTGGGCCTCCAGCGAAGGGAGATCAGCCATTTCTCCCAGCGCAGCGGGCATCGGTGCGCGTACTTGATCCGAGCCAAGACCCCGAGTGGTTCTTTTGCAATTGCACTTCGCTTGCCACGTTGGGTTCTTACCAACAGCGTTCGCGGATGCGCTCGTAGATCCACCGTCTCGCCGAATGCGCACGTATCTGCGCCAAGCTACAGCGCGCTAACTTGCGGGTGAGACCTCTCTGTCGTCGGAACTCGATCGGGATCTCAAGCGGCTTCGCAGCCCAAAAAGGGCAACCGGACTCGCCGCAGCGTGCGCTCCAAGCATTGGCGCGCTGCACTTCCTGCGCTCCGCCCTCCCAGAACCGCCACGGCGAGCCTGGCGTCGGCCAAGTGGGAGGGAAGTCGAGAGACGCGTACTTTGTTGAGCAGCGTGCGGAGAGAAGGCTGTGATGGTGCGATTCGAAGGTGTTGAGTGGCGCCGCGAGCCTAAAACCGATGAGATAAGACATCTGCAAGTACCGGTACAGCTCGCGATGCGTAACCTTTTTGGCATGCAATGACTAGCATCGGCTTCGGCGCCCATCGTTTCTCAACGCACGTCGCAAATCCATCCCGGGCCCATGCCGAGAGCAGTTCGCGAGCGCGTAAAATGAAGTGAACAAGGGATGCTTGTCCTCAAAGACACAACAGTCAGCTCGATGGCCTAGCCCACCGTCGGATGTCGGTGGGGTTGCAGAAGATACCATTTGCACCGCATTCGGCAACATGATCGGCTCGCTCATTCAGATATACGCTGGTATGCGACTCCACTTTCCGCCACACCAGAAATTGAGTAACTTAATCACAGAGATGGCGTGTCCTTAGGACGAGCCCAAGGTTGTGCCGAGCCCGAATCAGCCGCTGAACCACTCCAGCTGCATACTCACAATCATATCCGATGACGGCCTGCGGCATCTCCTGTGGGGAAGACGACGAGGAACCAGAGGGAGGGTGGTGATGCTGATGCTGATGCTGATGCGGATGATGATGATGATGATGATGATGATGATGATGATGATGATGATGATGATGATGATGATGATGATGATGATGATGTTGCTGTTGATGATGATGATGGTGATGATGATGCTGATGATGCTGTTGATGATGCTGATGATGATGATGATGATGATGATGATGATGATGATGATGATGATGATGATGATGATGATGATGATGATGCTGATGATGATGTCGCTGGACCTCCGAAGTGAAGTTGCGCCCCGTACATGCGTTGACGAGCGTCGCGAAGTTCAGACAAGCCCTGTAGTTCGCGAGCGCGTGGCCGTGGAGGAGGCCGTCGACGAGGACGGGCGCGTCCAGGGCGAAGCGGTAGACCTTGAAATTGCCGTGCACCCGCTTGTTCAACATCAGCGCGATTGCATCTTGGTGCGAGACTGTTGATCAAAGTAGTCTCCACGGCCAAGGCTCGAATTTCCACATTTAATCTGACAGCGGGCACGAAAGAAATGGAACTCACACTTTTCCGTAGGACGGAAGACCGTGCAAGCTTCCCATCTCGCGTCCACGGGAGGAGCACCCCCCTGCGATGCTCCAGCGCCCGTGCACTGTGTCCAGATGGGATAGCAGCACTCCTCTGTAAGTTAGCTTTGCCCAATATATCAGCCACCATGATTGAGTACTACATGCACCGCAGTGGCAGTGGGTCCAGGGGCCAGGGTCCACAGTGGCAGTAGCAGTGATACATGCACCGCAGTGGCAGTGGCAGTGATTGAGTAATACATGCACTCTGCCGATGCGCCGTCTAGGCTCGGCTTCTTCCTGTCCTGTCCAGTGGCAGTGGGTTCAGGGGCCAGGGTCCACTGGCTGGTGAGATCCCACCACGTGCCAACCTCTGCGAGCATCATATACTGCGTAGTTGCTGGGAAGGCGGCCCACGGCTGGCGGGCTCACCTGGGACAGCGATGATTGCACGCGTACGGCTGACAGTCCCCTTGGCCTGCAGCATTGTAGCAGCCCCGTAGCGCTTCTGCGACGGGACGTTCACCTCAACGCTCTCGAACGCAGCCTGCACCAACATGCTTAGATTGCTGGAGACAATCTGCTGCCGGATCCAAGACACGAGTCAGGCTAAACTTGTTACCGAAGGAGCTCGCAACAAGAGTCGTATGTTCATACATGTAGAAATCAACGGGTAGGTTTGTGATGTCGATGGCCATTGGTAGCGCGTCGCCGAGAATGAGGAGGAGGAGGAGGAGGAGGAGGAGGAGGAAGAGGAGGACCAGGAGGACTAGGAGCAGGGGGACGTCTTGTCTTGTTGGAGGCTGCTCGGGAGGTTGTGTTGGCTTCCTGGACGGTATTTGACGTTTCTGGGAGTCTTTCGAAGGCTTCTTGGAGGTCTCCGAGGGTGCATTTTGGGCAGTATTGGGGGACTGCCAGAGACCTGGGGCGTCTTGGAGGCCGCGTGCGTCGTCCTAGGGCCATCTTGGGCCGCCTTGCGGTTCTTTAGAGTCGTTTTGGGAATCCCATTGGGTTTTCGTGGGGCTCACAGGACGACGTTTTAGGGGCACTTTTGGGCGTCTTGAGGCCCTCTTGGGCGGTCCGACGGCCGTCTTGGAGGCTTCTTCAGCCGTCTGCGGGCGATCTAACCACTGTATTCGTCGTGGGCCAGAGGAAGCTCGAAATGAGGATAACCCCTAAATCCTTCCCAGACCTTGGGGGGAATCAGAGGTTTTTGCCTTTGGCCGCCTTCTTGAGGGTCCTTCTGGGGCTTTCTTGGGAGCCTGTTGGGTCGTGTTGTGGCCATCTCGGGGCCCTTTGGTGGCCGTCCTCGGGCTCTGTCGTCCATCTTTGGAGTCGTTGCGGTGCCTCTGGGGCCTCCGCGGCGTCCAGAAGAGTGCGGGTTGCTAGCTGGGGAGGCCCCGGGGGCCGTCGGAACGTGCTGGGGGGCGGGGGGGGGGAGCGTGGGGGGCGTCCGAAAGGGTCCTGGGATTTTCTGGTGTGTGTGTGTGTGTCCAGATCGCCTGAGCAGTTACCCTCTTCCCAGCCGCCGGCGCAAGAAGTGTGTGTGTGTGTGTGTGTGTGTGTGTGTGCGTGCGTGCGTGCGTGCGTGCGTGCGTGCGTGCGTGCGTGCGTGCGCGCGCGCGCGCGTGCGTGCGTGCGTGCGTGCGTGCGTGCGTGCGTGCGTACGTGTGTGTGTGTGTGTGTGTGTTTGCATCGCTTTCATCCCCGCGCAGGACGTCTGATTATAGCACATGTATGTCTGTCTGCCTGCCTGTCTGCCTGTCGGCCTGTCTGTATGCATGCATGCATATATACACATGCATGCATGCATGTGTATATATATGTATATATATATATATACACATATGTATAGGCAGATCAGACTTCCTGGCTCTTACAGGAGGGCGTGACACCGATTCTCCGCCCAGGGCCCACGCTGGCTAACATACTTATATATGTATCTGTATGTACGTATGTACAACAAGTGTTTCCCTGGCTCTGGGCAGGAGGGCGTGACACCATCTCTCCGCCCAGGGTCCAGGATGGGCCGGGCCGTGGGCGGAGCATGTGTGCGCACAGTTGGCCTTCTCCCGAGGAGGTGGCATGGACCTCGTCAGGCCCTGCTGTGGTGTCCGTGCGTTCTATGCAACACAAGGCAGACCTCCCAGATGGGGTCCGAGTAGATGGGGTCGGAGGATTGCACCGTATCGCCGGTGCATCGCCGATGAAGCTGGATGCGGAGACCGTTTTCTCCACGCTGATGGCGCCGATGCATCGCCGATGTTGCCGGTTCATCGCCAATGCTTCGCTTCGGCGATGCATCGCCGATGCATCGGCGATGCGGCGTGATCCTCCGACCCCATTGATTCCGACCCCATGTAGGAGGCCTGTACAAGGGTTGCGCTGTGGTCCTCCTTCGCAACAGGGAGGTGCTCGAGCGGAGCGTGCGGCAGAGCGTCGCGGTGATCGACGGCGTTTGTGCGGAGGTGCGGCGGCACTCGCGGCGGCCCAGGGACGGCGAGGAGCCAGCCGGCGAGGGCGAGTCGCAGGGCGTCTTCGTCGCGTGGGGCAACCGCGTGGCTCGGAAGCTGGGCATCAGTGACGAGGGCATCGAGGCCTACTTCAACGGGCTAGTGGGCAAGCCTTGCCCGGAGGGGCTCGATCCGGAAGCGCCTTTCGAGGAGTGCTTCCAGAGCTTCCCCCTCTCGTCCTCTGGGCCGCTGCCCCTGAACATGCGCCCCGGGCACCAGGAGGCGACGAAGGAGCAGCTCCTGGATGGCCCGCACGGCGCACCCGAGAAGGTGCGGGAGCTGTGGAGGGCCAAGGAGCGCCTGGACGCACTCTGGGCGCGTCCGCCGCCGCCGATGGGCCGTTCGGTGATGCAGCGGGTGGCGCGCGACCAGCTCTTCCCGCACTCCGGGGGCGCGGAGGGCAAGAACGGCGAGAACCGCGCCGGCGACAAGCTGGCCGAGTTGGCAGAAGCGACTGGCCTGCTCGCGGATGTCCCCGTGGGCGCCGCGTTCCTGGACCTCTGCGGCGGACCTGGAGCGTGGTCGCAGTTCCTCCTGGGCCACCGCCACTTGAAGTTCCGCGGCTACGGGCTCACGCTCAGGAGCGGTGCCGGCAGCGCCAGCGACTGGAAGTCTGAAGAAAAGGACGACTGGTACGAGGAGCTGTACTCGAGGCAAGACTGGCGGGCGATTTGGGGCAAGGACGGCACAGGCGATTTGCTCAAGCCGGGGAACATTGAGCACGCAGGCGCCCAGCTCTGGAAGGCTGGCGGCGTCTTCCTCTGCTTGGCCGACGGAGGCTTCAGCGACAGCGCCATCCCAGCGAACCAGCTGGAGCTGTATTTTTACCGCCTCCTGGTGGCAGAGCTCCTGATGGCAATGCGCTGCCTGCAGCCCGGAGGCCGCTTCGTGTGCAAGCTGTACAGCGCCTTCTCGCCCGCCACGGCCGCGCTCCTCTTCCTGACCACCCGCGTGTTCGACTCCGTGCGCGTGGTCAAGCCGAAGTCCTCCAGGGTTGCCGGCATCGAGCGCTACCTCGTGGCCTCCAGGTTCCTCCCTGGTCCCGAGGAGCAGGCAGTGCGGCGTGCGTTAGAGCGCTCGCTCGCCGTGCCGGGTGGCATCATGGACAGGCCTTTGCTGACCCCCATCGTCGACCCGGTGGATCTGGCCAGGGACGACGGCTTCCTTGCACAGCTGCGCGACATGGCGACGACCCTCTGCGAGAGGCAGACGCAGGCTATCGACGCGATCACGCAGAGGGCTGAGCATCTGGAGGCCGTAGCCCTCGAGGCCCTGTCGCATTCCGAGCTCGCCGACAACGACCCCTGCTGGGTGGAGGACCACAGCGAGCGGCGGCGTGATGGTCGCAGGGGCGCCAGGCGCTGAGCAGGCCTCTGCTGACGAGAGTGCGTCTCTCAGCGTTTTTTTGATGGTGAAGCACCATCCAGGGGCAACGTTGGGGTGGGGGGACAGGCTCAGGGGGGGATGCGCTGACCCCCAATCGCCCATCGATCGCCGATAGGGCCCAGATAGGCCACCCTGCCCTGGAAGCCGCGGCGTCGCCATCGGGGGCTGGTCGCCGATCTTTCTGCGACGTATTGTCGATTCCTGCTCGATGTTCCCCCCCCTGAGCCAGTTTCCCTCTATCGTCGCTCCTCTCACCCAGGTTCAGCAGTGAGAATCTCAACTGCTTGCGGCGCACCCCGGCACCCTGTCTTAGGATGCAACTCCTGGGAGGTTTAATTTAGCATCGGCGCTAATTTTCATATCCGTAGTCGGAGACCACCCTTACCTGGCATGCGTAGTCCAATTTATCCCGCTTAATCTGGCTTCATCGGGTTTAATCCCCGGCGTAATCCGGCCTAATTCTTCTCAAGGGCCCCTTGAACGGGCTCAGTAGCCCTTGCCTGTCAGCCTGCCAGCGCAGCATCAAATGTCGTGCGGAGTGGGTCTGCCGAGGTCTTGCGAGCAGCCTCGGCACAGGCATGTTTGGGCAGAGTCTGGGAGGTGGTGCTTGGATGCTGCTGCAGCGCGCCGCGGCCGTCGCGTGGCATGGTTGACGCGTTGCCGTTTTGGGGACTGCTTGGGCGCGTCCTGGGAGCCTCTTCCGGGCCTCTCTGGGGCCCCTCGTCGGGGGAAGAAGCACGATGACCATGGCCGTGAAACGCTGGTTTTTGGGATGGGCCGTGCTGGACGTCGCCGATCCGCGAGGATAGTCGGCGAATTGGCGATGACCAAGATGGGCGATTACCAAGATCGACGCTGACGTTTCGTGTTCGGTCTTGGTCATGGTCACCGTGCTCTTTCCCTCCATCATGGGATCTCTGGGATGGTCTCTTGGGGGCGTGTTGGGGGTCTCGGGGCCGTCTTGGGCGCGGTGGTTGATTTTTTCGAGCTCTCCCGAGTTGGTTCGTTTCACCTGTCTTGGGGCCGTCTGGGAAAGTCTTGGGGCCGTCCTGGAGCCCTCTTGGAGCGATGTTAGGTCGACTTTGGGGGTTCTCGAATCGAGCCCTCTTGGCTCCCTGAAGCTTCTTGATATTAGGTTCACTGGGAAGCCTCGGAAACAACACAGTGAAATTTCGGAGACGTTATCAGTAGGCATTGCCAGTGGCAATCCTTTCTTAGGCGTTTCAGTCATTTTTTGGTAGCTCAGGGCATCGCTGGAGGCCTCCTTGGGTGCCTTCGGGTGGCTTCCTTGGGCCTCTCAGGACGCTGTTGGGGCGTAGGATTGTAGTGGGGCCGTCTGGTTGAGGCTCGAGGCTTTCTCCCGAATGTCCATTTCGCAAGGTTTGAGCTGTCTCAGGCGGGCGCAATCTTCCTGGCCCCTCGCGTCCATGGGCCGACCATGAACATCTACATAAGCCCTATCAGACCGGGAAAGGGCGTTCTGACACGCCCCTACGTGCCCGCGGCACGGTGAAGTCGTTTTTTGTATTAAGCTAAACGTGTCCTTCCACAGCAGGGTGAATGCTTAGGTGAATGCAGGCTGCTCCAGCAGGTGCACGTTTTTATGATTTCTCTAGGCAGGTGCTCGTTCCCCCCTTGCCCCCCCCCCCACTCCGCATTCCTATCACTCCTTCGTGCGCGGTAGGTTTTTAGCCGGTCGGCCAAATGTCTTTTTTAGCCCGTTCCCTGGGGGCTGCTAGTGCTCCGCAGGGCGGGCTGCCAAATGCACAGGCTCGTTGCTGCCATCTTGGCAGGGTCGAGGATGTACAGGGTTGTCAAATGCACATGCTCCTCAAACTCAGGAGGGGAAAAACACACAGACACAACGAATCGTCGACTCCCAGGAAGATATGGGAAAACATGGAAAGTGGGGAGGAAGACGACAACCCCGAAACAAGTATGGGAAACTGTGGGGCCTCTTGGGATTTGTCTTAATTTTTACCTGTGTGTCCCTGGGCCCTTCTACAAGCGTCGACCTCTGCGGGGCCCACAGAGCGCGCGTCTTTCCTGGCGGGGTGACGGGGGGGAAGGCGCCCTTCGCGCAGGGAGGCAGAACGCCTGCAGGGACTGGTGGAGGAGGAGGAGGAGGAGGAAGAGAAGGAGGAGGAGGAGGAGGAGGAGAAGGAGGAGGAGCAGGAGGAGCAGGAGGAGCAGGAGGGGGCTCGGGGCGCGAGGCTGTGGTGCAGCACTGTGAATCCATCTTGGGTTTACTCTGGGCCTCCACAGGCCTCCTCCTCCCTTCTCTCTTCCCTCCTCCTCCTCCTCCTCCTCCTTCTCCTTCTCCCCCCTCCTCCTCCTCCTCCTCCTCCTCCTCCTCCTCCTCCTCCCTCCTCCTCCTCCTCCTCCTCATCCTCCTCCTCCTCCTCCTCCTCCTCCTCCTCCTCCTCCTCCTCCTCCTCCTCCTCCTCCTCCTCCTCCTCCTCCTCCTCCTCCTCCCCATTGTGATGTTGCGCCAACTCTTGCATGATTAAGCATTAAGCGTATCTTCAATGATATGGCCACGACAGAAAATGATGTACAGGTTTAGGCGATTTGGCCTCACTGGCAACTTCAACTAAGCCTGCCACTGTAGATGCCTGGAATCAGGAATGCGAGTACACGAATCAGGAAAAGCAGATGGGCCCACTAGGGCTTGAAGAGGCATAGCAGCGGTGTTAAAATAGTTAGTGCGGCGGGCGGCAGCGTGCAGGTCATGATGCTCAACCTCCCAGCCACTGGTTCACTCCCCAAAAAATGTTCGAGCCAACTAGCACGCGGCTGGGTTGGCGTACGTATCGTCTTTAAAGTGATTGGGCTACTGAGTGTGGTGGGCAGCTTGGCAGCACCACATTCGTTGCTGGGCGAGGGGCAGTAAGGAGGAGAGATACACTCGAGGTCGGCATATGGCATAGCAGTGAGAGGGGAAGGAGGGAAGATGTTGGCTGACGGGAGCACCGCTGGGTGCATAAGAGTAGGCAATGGAATAATTGCGGGAGTGGATTGCTGACTGTATGAGCTGTTGTTATGCAGGGTTCTAGGCGGTATTGCACAATCTGTCTGGTACAGAACGACGTTGGGTAGTTACTATCGTAACGGCGGCGGGAATACTCTGCTAACGACGACGACGACGGTGGCGACGAGGACGTCGTCGGCAATGGCGACGGAGACGGCGGCGGTGACGGAGAGGGCGGCGGCGACAAGGATGAGGACGGCGGCGGCGATGACGGCAGCGGCGACTGCGAGGAGGAGGATGACGACGACGACGGCGAGGACGGCGGCGGCGACGGCGGCGATCGGCGGCCGCGGCTACCGGGGGCCGCGCGCGTCTTCGGGCGTGGAGGCCGTGCTCCGGTTCTGGGACGCGCACCTGCCGGCCGCCGCCTCCATCCCGGGTGCTTCCAGGGGTGGTCCTCAGGGAGGCCCAGGGGCAACGTTAGGGGATCAGCTCAGGCTTGAGGTTCGGGGTTTTCGGACGTGTCCGTTGGTACTGTGCGGCTTTCCATCCTGGGGATGCCTCTCGGCGGCTGCGCCTCGCCGATGGCGTTCCTGGGGGGCCTGGATCGTCCTGAACGGCCGCCGCAGGCCCGAGTTGTGACGCTCAGGGGGGGATGCATCGACCTCCAATCGCCCACTCATTGCCGATAGTGGCCCGATAGCCCGCCCCGCCAGGGCACTTGCTGATTCGTTATCGGGGGCCTGTCGCCGATCTATCGGCGATGTGGCGCCGATTCCAGGTCGATGTCTCCCCACCTGAGCCAGTCCCCGCTTGACGTTGCCCATCCGAGGCGCCGATGGCTTCCAACGCACCCCTCACGAGGCCCAGTGGGCCCCAAGTGGCGCGAGAGGCTGGGGACACCTTCCACACCAGGACCACCTCCAGCGACACCCGGTCCATCCGCCGCGCGCGGCTGCGGTGCGCGCAGGGGGACCTGCACAGGACGCCACGCGCAGCTCAGCGGAGGAAGAGTCGAGAGTCCAGGTCTTCGTCGTTCTCGGTGCCTGGAGGTCCGCTGCCAGCCTGAAAAAACGTCCTCGTTCCCCGAGCAGTGCGCGCACCCGGGGCTTCTCGCTTCGCTTCTGAGGTCACTCCCTCCTCTTGGACGTGCCAGTGATGTACGTAGCGTTCCATGCTCTCAGCGCAGGCTGCAGGTCTGGAGGCGTCAGTCACGGAGCCACAGCTGCCGCCATCAGCTGCCCAATCAATCAATCAATTCTGAGGTCACTGGGCCCTGGTGCCGCCTTTCTGGACGCCCGAAATGGGTACCGAAAGAATGGGTACAATGCACAGCAGCAGTTCCTGTTCATTTTGAACAGGCCTCGCTGTCCACGCCGCCGCGGCCTGTGTCCATTCGAGACAGGAGGCCGCCTGCCCAACAGCGCCCGCTGTTGATTTGGGACAACATTTGTTGTTGGGCATCGTACCCATTCTTTCGGTACCCATTTCGGGTGTCCAAAGCCTTGGCCAGCTGGTGGCCGCCCGTCGCCGCCCGTCGCCGCCGTCCGTCGCCGCCGTGCCTGGGCCCCGTGCCGCCCCGGCGGGCCTGTGGTCGCCCGTCGCCGCTCGTCGCCAGCGTCCGTCGCCGTCGTCGCCGCCGCCGTGCGTCGTCGCCACGGATTGCTTTGCATCGCGTTGCGTTGCTTTGCATCGCGTTGCTTTGCGTTGCTTTGCTTTGCGTTGCTGCGCGTTGCTTCGCTTTGCGTTGGCATTTCGTTGCGTTGCGTTGCACTGCGTGGCATGGCTTTGCATCGCACTGCTTCACATGGCATAGCTTTGCATTGCGGTGGGTCACATTGCATTGCATTGCATTGCGTTGCGTTGCGTTGCCTTGCCTTTCGTTGCCTTGCATTGCTTTGCATTGCTTTGCGTTGCTTTGCGTTGCTTTGTATTGCTTTGTATTGCTTTGCATCGCATTGCATAGCTTTGCATTGCGTTGCATTGAATTGCATTGTTTTGATTTGCA